GATACAGCCATGGTAGTCAAAACAGCTTGGTGCTGGTACAGTAACAGATTAATGGAACAGAAATTCCGAACCCAGATGTAAATCTATGCACCTGTAGACAGCTGATCTTCAACAAAAGGTCAAAATCTATTAAATGGAGAAGGGATAGTCTCTCTAACAAAAGGTAGTGGCAAAACTGGATATCCATTTGCAGAAAAATGAAACAGGATCCATACCTTACACCATACACAAAACTAACTAAAAGTTCATGGGACAAAACATGGGGACAAACCAAGTGGCCCTAATTTATGGTATGGACTCAAATGTAACTGAAACGTGCGCAAACAACAGCAGATAAACTAGATTCCTGGAACTTCCTGAAAATTAAATAATTATGCTCATCAGAATACCTCACTGAAAGAGTGAAAAGAGAACCTACAGACTGGGAAATATGTTCTGGCAATGACCTATCTGCCAAGGGTCTACTCTCTAAAGTTTATAGAACACTTCAACAACAAAAAGTCAAACCAAACCCTCTGCCATCAAGTTGATTCTGATTCATAGTTGACCCCATAAGGCAGAGTAGAACTGCCCATGCTTCATCTATCTTCTGCAGAACGGCTGGTGGGTTTGAACCACTGCCCTTTTGGTTAGCAGCTGAATGCCTTAAAAGGACATGATAAAACACTTCACCAGAGAAGACATTCAGGAGCAAAGAAGAATGAAGAAAATCAAAGACACGTAGAAACAATTAGTCCCAAGGACATGGACAATGAGAACCTCAGCCTACATGACCCTGAGACCAGAAGAACTAGATGGTGCCCAGCTTACCAATGCCAACCCCTGGGAAGGGGATCAAAATTGGAGATCCTGGATAGAGTGGGAGGAAAAATGTGGAACAAAACTCAAAAACATAAAAAAGACCAGGATTACTAGTCAGATAAACTCACTGCCATCAAGTCAGATCTGACTCAGCGACCCCTCTGTGGGTTTCCAAGGCAGTATCACTACAGAAATAGATTGCCCAACCTTCCTTCTGAGGAGCTACTGCTGGGTTTGAACTGCCAACCTTCTGGTTAGCAGTCACATGCCTTAGGCACTATGCCATCAGAGCTCCCACTAGTCAGGTAGAGACTGGATGGACACTGGTAAAACCCCTAAGACTATGGCCTCTAGTTACCCTTCAGACCTGGAGTTGGACTCACTGCTGTGGGTTAACTCTCAGCCAAACACTAGCTAGGCCTACATTGTGAATGGCTACACTAGAGAGATGCACTTCTTAAAATAATCAGCCATGGGAGATCAGAAGGGCAGCATTTGCACAGGGAGAAAGATAGGGAAGCAGGAATGGATAGGCAAGAAAGACACAGGGAGAGGGTAAGCACAGGTATGAAGTGGGAAGAGAGCTGTTACTTTGTGGGGATTGTAATTAGTGTCATCAAACAAAATGTGTATGAATTGTTGAATGGAAAACAAATCTGCCTTGTAAAATTTGACCTAAAATTACTTTTTTTAAAAAAAGAGAGGGAGACATTCAGGTTGCTAACACAGACACACAAAGATGTAATCATTAGCCATTAAGAGATGCAAATCAAAATTATAATGAGATACTTCTCACCCCTCAATAATGGCACTGGTTAAAAAACAACACAAAATGTTGGTGAGGCTGTAGTGAAAGTAGAACTCTTATACACTGCTGCTGGAGCTGCAAAATGTGGGAAATGGTATGGTACTTAGAAAGCTAGAAATAGAAATACCGTATGATCCAGCAATCCCACTCCTAGGTGTGTGTGTGTGTGTGTGTGTGTGGTTATTGTTATCAGCTGTCAAGTTGGACCCAACTCATAGCAACCCCTCCTTGGGCTTCCGAGGCAGTATTACTATGGAGGTAATTGCCCAACCTTCCTTCGAAGAGTGGCTAGTGGGTTTAAACCACCAGCTTTCTGGTTAGCAGTCAAGTGCCTTAGGCACTGTGCTACCAGAGCTCCTGTGTGTGTATATATATAAAAATATATATATTAAAAAGCAAACTGACTGCTATCGAGTCGATTTGATTAAGAGCGACCCGTTGGGTTTCTGAGGCGGTATCTCTACAGAAGTAGATTGCCCAGTCTTTCTTCTGAGGAGTGGCTGGTGGTTTGAACCACCAGTCTTCTGGTTAGCAATCAGATGCCTTAGGCACTATGCCACCAGAGAAATAAGAGCCGTACCCAGTAGACATACACACATTCATATTCATTGCAGCATTATCCACAATAGCAAAAAGAAGGAAACAACGTGTTCATCAATAGATGAATGGGTAAACAAACTGTAGTATGTACATACAATGGAATATTAATACAAAAATAAAGAATCCATGAAACAGAACAAGGATGAATCTGGAAGATACTATACTGACGGAAATAAGTTAATCACAAAAGGAAAAATACTGTTTTGGGACCATTATTATAAAATCAAGAATAGGTTTATACATATTATTTGCTGGTTACCAGGGATGGGAGGGGTAGGGAAGGAAAATCACCAACTAGATAGTACACAAGTGTTAATTATGGTGAAGGGGAAGGCAGTGTGGGGGAAGTCAGCAAGCACAACATGACCAAGGCAAAAGAAGACAGTGAGAGGTATGCAAGGTACAGTAAATGCTACAACATTATATAATCCTGCAACAATAGTAATAATGAACAGTAAAAGGTGAGTAGATACATAGGTAAATGTGTATGCTAAATAGATGAGAGAAATCATACAGGAGTATACTCATATACATATAAAGGTATGGTTGCAGATATTTCTACATAGAATTTGTAAGTACTGTGTAGGTACTCATGTATGATAGAGTACATGGGGGGCACAGTTACAGAAACTACTTAGACATCAGGACTAAAGTGGTAAATTTAAAGGCTAGAAACCATAGTCTTGGGAGACATCTAGATCAATTGGCAAAACACAGTTCATAAAGATAATGTTCTATATCCTGAACTGGTGAGTAGCCATGTAAGAAGCAACTATTAGTCTCTTCCTTCTGGAGCAAAGGAAGAATGAAGAAAACCAAAGATTCAAGGAAGCAATTAGTTCAAAGGATTGATGGCCTCCATGAACCACAGCCTCCTCTAACCTGACACCAGAGGGAATTGATGGTGCCTGGCCACCACTAACTGGCTACTCTGACCAGAACCGCAGTAGAAGGTCTTGGTTAGAATGGGTAAAAGATGTAGACCATAATTCAAATCAAAAGAAGAAAGACTAGACTTACCAATCTGAAAGACACTAGGGAAATCCCCAAGACTGTCATTCTAAGATAACCTTCTAACTTGAAACGGAAGATACTCCCGGAAGGCCGCTTTTCAGCCAAATAGTAGATGGGCCTATGAAATAAAACAGTAATGCCCATGAAGAATGTGCTTCTTAAACAATCAGCTACTCAAGACCAAAAGGGCAATATTTGCCTAAAACCAGAGATGAGAAGGCAGGAACAGACGGGGAAACCAGATAAACAGAAAAGGGAACCCAGGAACGAAAAATGGAGAGTGCTAATACATTGTGGAAGAGCTCTGGTAGCATAGTGCCTAAGGCACTTGACTGCTAACCAGAAGGCTAGTGGTTCAAACCCACCAGCCACTCCTTGGAAGGAAGGTTGGGCAGTCCTACTTCCGTAGTGATACTGCCTCAGAAACCCAAGGAGGGGTCGCTGTGAGTCGGGGCTGACTCGACAGCAAATAACAACAACAATACATTGTGGGGATTCTAACCAATGTCGTGGAATAATTTGTGTGTGAGTTACTGTTGTTGTTTGCCGTTGAGTCGGCCCCAACTCATAGCGACCCCTCCTTGGGTTTCCGAGGCAGTATCACTACGGAAGTAGGATTGCCCAACCTTCCTTTCTTCCGAGGAGTGGCTGGTGGGTTTGAACCGCCAGCCTTCTGGTGAGCAGTCAAGTGCCTTAGGCACTATGCTACCAGAGCTCCTGTGAGTTACTGATTGGAAAACTAATATGCTATGTAAATTTTGACCTAAAGTACAATAAAATGCCCCCCCCCAAAAAAAAAAAGTTACAAGGCAACACTCTGATCTACTTCCAATTAATCAGCCATTTAAAACCCTATGGAGCACAGCTAGAAAACCTACCTCCTGGAAAACAAAGGCAGTGTATGAGTTGCATCAACAAAATCTCTTCTTCAGCAGAGTCACAAACTGAGGTGATTGACTCAAAGATGGTGGCGGACCACGTCATTTTGCATGTGTGTCATTGCATTTCTGGCTCCCTCACCAGGCTCCTGAAAGGGCTCAGTATACCTCTTCCAAGTCTGATTTCAGGGCTTTGACCTGTAATTTTTCCTGTTCAGTTATCATTCTGGTACACCTACAGTGTACAAATTTGTATCTGTCTAATTTCCCTTTGTCAGCTATGACTGAACTGGTTAGAACTGCATTGAAGCCCTGCTTTAAATATGTGAATAGTATTGGCAATTGCGGGTTTTAATAAGAGACAAATGGTGTGTTCACAACTAAAAGTAAAGTGAAAAGAAAGGAGCGGAAGGAAATAAGATTAAATAACTGTACTAGAATAGATGGTTTTTAGTACTTTGCTGTGTTTCTACAGCTACTGTCAGGAAAAGCTGCATCTTTTCCATTGGTGGTATACTGCCCAAAGAAAATGCTCTGAAAAACATAAGGTACCAGTCAGCTGATTTGGCCCATGGCTTTGCTTTAGAATTTAAAATATGCATGGAAACTTTGACCCAAATCACAATAAAAAGTTAGAAAAAAAAGAAAATGTGCATGGAGTCCCTGGATGATACAAATGGTTAGAGTGCCCAGCGAAAGGTTGAAGGTTCAGATCTACCCAGAGGTATGTTGGAAGAAAGTCCTGATGATCTACTTTCAATTAATTAGCCATTTAAAACCCTGTGGAGCACAGTTCTACTTTGACACATAGGGTCACCATGTGTCAGTAGACTCCTCTGGCAACTTTTTTTTTTTTTTTTTTTAATGGAACTAATGTGTTTGCCTCCTTTTGCCACCAGGGGGCAGACCGGGCCATTCCCGTCCTGATCATTGGCATCCTGGTGTTTCTGCCAGGATTCTACCATCTGCGCATCGCCTACTACGCATCTAAAGGCTACCGGGGATACTCCTATGATGACATTCCAGACTTTGATGACTAGCACCCACTTCATGCCAGAGAAGAATCATAGATGGGACTGAGCCCACTTTTAATGCACTGGGCAGAAACTGTTCTAAGGGCTAAGGAATTCTGTAGTTTGCAAATACTTAACAAACTATGGCCAGATATTATGGGTTTATCCCAAAGATGTTAACTGAGCTTATAAGTAACTAATTAGGACATGCTATTTCACATTTTTGGCCCTAGCAAAAACTTCTGGCAAGTTTTCCACCTGACTCTGTATCATGGAAGAACAATGATGTTAATGTATGGGAACACAGAAGGTTATTCTGTAGTGGAAAGTTTTACTGCCACCACCCTTTTTAGAGTTGGACGTTTCTTTTAAATAGTTTTCATTGTCAGTTTGTTCTTGTGGCAAATGGAAAAAATGCAGTATGTAAGTTATTTTGAAAATACATAGCTAAGTATCTTACCGCTACACTTACCTGTAATTTTGAGTTGTAGTCTAGTGGACACTAGATTGGTAAAATCAAAATGTGACCACATCTCTATTTTTACTTTCTGATAGCAACTGAGGTTTTCAAAATGTAAGCACTTTCTTTGTTCCCCAGGCCTTGGTCAGTTCTGATCTCTTTCACGGAAAAGTTGGCCAGCATATAACTCAGGTCATTCTGTCCTTTGTAGATCAAGATGTTCTCTATCTATGTCATGCCGTTAAAGACTGGGTTTTTGGCTGTTTCGTAATGAAAAATGAAAATAAGTGGTTCTTATCAAGAGTTTTACAGTCTCATTACCATCTTGTATTACGTTGTTCTACTGAAGTTCAAAAGACAGCCTGGATTACTAGAGAACTAGATGGCTTAGTTTGGTTCCGTTTCCCAGCTTGCAAAAGTGACATATTCTGAAAAAATTAAAATGTTAAAATCCAAGTCTCAGAATTAAAATGATTTCACTTTAAATGTATTTCAGAAAATGTCTTACTGATGATGTGGTGTCCTTGATCTCAGTATTCAGGACTCCCGTTACTTGTAGGTAACCTGCATTGTTGGTAAGACTCTGCTCCTCAGTCTTTCTTTCACTTCATAGTTTTGGACCTGTACAGCTAGAAGATTGGTGGTATCATCTGAGAGTTAGAAGGCTGTTGGTAGAGCAGGTTTCTGGGGGCAGATGAGTCCAGTTATGGACATGTTAAATTTAAGATGTCTATTTCACATCCAGGTGGAGCTGTTGAGTAGGCAGTTCCGGTGTATGCATCTGGAGTTCAGGAAGGAGTTGGGGCTAGAAATAAAAATTTGGGAGTCAGTGTTTGGAGAATATCTAAAAGCCACAGATAGGACTGGGTAAAATCATCAAAGGAGTGAGTGTACATAGAGAAAAGAATTGGACTCAGAAATGAGGGACAAGGAAAGGGTGACCTGAGGCAGTAGCCTTCAAGGGTAGGCATATTTGGTAGTGGGAGTTAGTCCTCTAGAAGTCTTGGGCTTTGACAATAGGTATTGTGAGGAAATAAAAACTCAGACTGGAAGGTGTTATGGTTACCTGGTGCCGCTCTGACAAGAATATACCATGAATGGGATGGGTTGAAGAAACAGGAGTTTATACTCTCACAGTTTGGAGGCTTTAAGTTCAAGTTCAAAGTGCCAGGCTCTGTGGGCTGGGTGGAAAGCCCCTTGGCCTTGGGCTTTAGCTCTGCCTCTTGTTCCCGGCCCACTGAAGCTAGAGGCATCTCGTTACTCAGGCAGCTACTGGCTGCTGAGGCTAGCAAGCCCAAGGTCGACAAAGAGGCACAGTGCCGATAACCAAACCACACGGCAGGCCATTAGCCTTTCAATTAGCCATTGAAAGTCCTAAGGTCAGCAGAGCATGGCAGGCTGCTGCTGAACAATGACACGGCTCTGCAGGGTCCAAGTGTGCCATAAGGTAGAGACGATTTCCAAGGCTTCTTATATAAAGGAAGCAGACCACATCCCAAAGGCTCGTGGTAGATCCCACTGTGGAGTTGATTGCCAGTGTCATCATGGGGAATGACTACCACCAGCTGCCCAGCCATTCAACCAGGTCCAGCCAGGTTGACATACAAATTTAACTATCACAGAAGGTGATGGTGCTGATGATAAACTAAAAATAGAACAGAAGACTATAAAGTGAAAATACCTGCTCCCCTAGTCATATTTCCAAAAGTTGTCCAGTGAAGTTTCTTGTGTATCCTTCTGGAAATGTTCTAAGCACATTAACATATATATAATTTTCTTTTTTTTTCCCCCCACTTTATTTGAAGATCAGCCACATCTTTTTAATGTACAGTATAAATATAGTTATCCATACTATGCATGCAATCAAAGGATCCTAAGGGAAGAGGCCACAGAAGTCAAATTCCAACCAGCTTCCTACCTGAAGCAGGAATTCCCCCTCAGATATTCCCTGACAAATGGTCCTTGCTGTTCTCTTTGAACATTCAGTGCTCATAATCTCATTCCAGTTGGGATTGTTCTTTACTGTATTTTTATTAAGCTAAAATTGGATTTCCTGTATCCTCTGTGTATTGACCCTAATTGTATCCTCTGCTGCTATAAAGGAAAGATCTTGCTGTTGGGGGCCATTGAGTGAGTTCCATCTCAGCAACCCCATGTACAACAGAACAGAACGCTTCCTGATCCTGCACCATCCTCACAATCTGCTGTGCTTGCGCCCGTCCTTGCAGCCACTGTGTCATTCTATCTTTTGAGGGTCTTCCCTTTTTCGCTGATCCTCTACCAAGCATGATATCCTTTTCCAGGCACTGGTCCCTTCTGACAACATGACCAAAAGTACATGAGGTGACATCTGGCCATTCTTCTAAGGAGCATTGTAGTTACACTTCTTCCAAGACGAATTTGTTCTTCTGGCGGTCTGTAGTATCTTCAGCATTCTTCACCAGTACCACAGATAATCAATTCTTCAGTCTTCCTCATTCATCGCCCAGCTTTCACATGCATATGAGGCTAATGAAAATACCGTGGCTTCGGTCAGGCTCACCTTAGTCTTCAAAGTGACATCTTTGCTCTTTAACACTTCAAAGAGGTATTTTATAGCATATTTGCCTGGTGCTCTGGTGGCGTAGTGCCTAAGGCATTTGACTGCCAACTAGAAGGCTGGCGGTTCAAACCTACCAGCCACTCCTCGGAAGGAAGATTGTGCAATCTACTTCTGTTGTGATAACTGCCTCAGAAACCCAAGGAGGGGTAGCTATGGGTCAGATCCAACTCAACGGCAGTAAGTTTGGTTTTGGTTTTTTCGCCCAGTGCAAAAACATCGTCTGATCTCTTCACTGCTGGTTGCACGGGTTTTGATTGTGAATCCAAGTAAAATGAAATCCTTGACAACTTCAGTCTTCTCTCTGTATGTCATGATGCTGCTTATTGGTCCAGTTGTGAGAAGTTTTTTTATGTTAAGTTATAATCCATAGTGAAGGCTGTAGTCTTTGATCTTCATCAGTAAGTACCTTCAAGTCATCTTCACTTTAAGCAAGCAAGGTTGTGTTATGGAAAAGATCTCAGCCTCCGTGATAATGGTGAATGTTTCTGTCTACTTTGTCAGGACAGTGTGCCAGTATTTTCATTACCTGTTCCTATTTCATTTTAATCCTTGGAAGAATCCTGAGTTAGGTAAGATTCTTAGCTAATAGAGTAGGGGTATTTGGGGTTCAAATGTAGGTAAAACTTGAATTCCTCTTACCTGGTGTGAAACCCAAATGCCTTTAGAATCTGGACAAGTGAAAAGAGGTGGGGGCAATTATGAAATGTATCTTTCTACCAAAAGTCCCCTGACCCTTTTAAGTGCTGGCCAAACCATGTCATAGCTTCATAAGAATTTCCTTATTTGCCACTGCTGTGTCTCCTTTTAAGGAGTTCTGGTGGCACAGTGCCTAAGGCATTTGACTGCTAACTAGAGGTTGGCCGTTGAAATCCACCAGCTGCTCCATGGAAGGAAGATGGGGCAGTCTACTTGTGTAAAGATTTATTGCCTGAAACCTAATAGGGGGTCACTGTGAGTCAGAACCAACTCCATGACAGTGAGTTTGGGTTGTTTTGGTATGTCTCCTTTTAGTAGTTTCCAACACCAAAAATTCTCCCAAGGTGCTTCACCTGTGTTCATATGATGGAGATTCTAGATCTCTTATCGCTTTGGTGGGTTTCCTTTGGATGCGCTTTGCTTGTCCAATGTACCAGAAGCACCCTGACCATTTCCTTTATGCTAGGACTTATATTACATCCTGGGGATATACAAGAAGACACGTGGCTTGGTTGGAAAGGAGCAGAAGTTGCATTCTAATCACAGATGTTACTTGCTTTTTCTTTTTAAAAATAGGAAGGGTCACATCTCTAATTTTTGATTTTTGAAAGATGATTACTTTGTTAGTGACAGGCTACACTAGCTGCAGTAAGGTAGTGACAGCAACATTAGAGCATGATTCTCCAGTTCACCACATTCCCTACCACTCTGGTTACTTTTTTACCCAACTTGCCAATTTCCCTCATTAAGGGCAAAGAGTGCCTTATCTGCCATGATATCTCACACAGTGCTGTGGCCATATGATATTTGTTGAATGAAGAACTACAATCTAAAGTGCCTTTCCATCCCAGGATGCTAGGTGTCTTATCCTTTGAGACATGGTCTTCTGCCAGCTGCTGTTCAGATTTACTACTGTCAGCTGAGTCAGGCCTCTGCTTAGCATCCTCTCAGTTCAGGGCAGTGGGCCCAGTGGAGAGCTGCTCGCAAGGCCCTTCCTTCTCCAGGTCATGCATCATCATCCCTGCCAGCTGACAAGGGGCCACCTTGTCACTGGTACCAGAATGTGGTGAGGGAACCTAGTGGAGGGATGATAACTGAGTGTTGACTGCTGCTGACCTTTATTGAAGGGGCATCTGCCAAATCAACCCACCTGAGTTGTCTTGATCTGTCATCTAAATTCCTGAGGCTTCTCTCCTGGATTTCATCCTCTAGGTGCCTGCTGGCTGCCAGAGTTGACCTCACAGGTGTGTGGTTAGTCAAGGTTTAGTG